CAGGTATTGAGAGTGATGTCTGATGTCAGTCAATATCTGTAAATTGTATATAACAGCCATTGAGAGTGATGTCTGATGTCAGTCAATGTCTGTAAATTGTATGACAGGTATTGATAGTGATGTCTAATGTCAGTCAATGTCTGTAAATTTTATGACAGGCATTGAGAGTGATGTCTATAATGTCAGTCAATGTCTGTAAATTGTATGACAGGTATTGATAGTGATGTCTAATGTCAGTCAATGTCTGTAAATTTTATGACAGGCATTGAGAGTGATGTCTATAATGTCAGTCAATGGCTGTAAATTGTATGACAGGCATTGAGAGTGATGTCTGATGTCAGTCAATGTCTGTAAATTGTATGACAGGCATTTAGAGTGATGTCTATAATGTCAGTCAATGTCTGTAAATTGTATGACAGGCATTGATAGTGATGTCTAATGTCAGTCAATGTCTGTAAATTGGATGACAGGTATTGAGAGTGATGTCTAATGTCAGTCAATGTCCGTAAATTGTATATAACAGGCATTGAGAGTGATGTTTAATGTCAGTCAATGTCTTTAAATTGTATATAACAGGCATTGAGAGTGATGTCTGATGTCAGTCCATGTCTGTAAATTGTATATAACAGGCATTGAGAGTGATGTCTGATGTCAGTCAATGTCTGTAAATTGTATGACAGGCATTGAGAGTGATGTCTGATGTCAGTCGATGTCTGTAAATTGTATGTAACAGGCATTGAGAGTGATGTCTAATGTCAGTCAATGTCTGTAAATTGGATGACAGGTATTGAGAGTGATGTCTAATGTCAGTCAATGTCCGTAAATTGTATATAACAGGCATTGAGAGTGATGTCTGATGTCAGTCAATGTCTGTAAATTGTATATAACAGGCATTGAGAGTGATGTTTAATGTCAGTCAATGTCTTTAAATTGTATATAACAGGCATTGAGAGTGATGTCTAATGTCAGTCAATGTCTGTAAATTGTATGACAGGCATTGAGAGTGATGTCTAATGTCAGTCAATGTCTGTAAATTGTATATAACAGGCATTGAGAGTGATGTCTAATGTCAGTCAATGTCTGTAAATTGTATATAACAGGCATTGAGAGTGATGTCTAATGTCAGTCAATGTCTGTAAATTGTATATAACAGGCATTGAGAGTGATGTCTAATGTCAGTCAATGTCTGTAAATTGTATATAACAGGCATTGAGAGTGATGTCTAATGTCAGTCAATGTCTGTAAATTGTATATAACAGGCATTGAGAGTGATGTCTAATGTCAGTCAATGTCTGTAAATTGTATATAACAGGCATTGAGAGTGATGTCTAATGTCAGTCAATGTCTGTAAATTGTATATAACAGGCATTGAGAGTGATGTCTAATGTCAGTCAATGTCTGTAAATTGTATATAACAGGCATTGAGAGTGATGTCTAATGTCAGTCAATGTCTGTAAATTGTATATAACAGGCATTGAGAGTGATGTCTAATGTCAGTCAATGTCTGTAAATTGTATATAACAGGTATTGAGAGTGATGTCTGATGTCAGTCAATATCTGTAAATTGTATATAACAGGCATTGAGAGTGATGTCTGATGTCAGTCAATGTCTGTAAATTGTATATAACAGGCATTGAGAGTTATCTATCATTGAACCCCCTAAACTATAAGCTGAATGATACCTATAGCTCTTATGTATCTGGTTTGATGATAGGTCCTAATGAATAAATGATGCATCATAAAACCTGACTCAGGGAACCACCCAATAGCGTGAGCCAGATAGATAAAACAGTTAAAAAGTCGCCATATTTAATTGTATAATAATATCCCTGTCATAGCTAAAACATTATTTCTGACTGCAAGGCCAAGCTTTTCCAAGACCATCCCCTGAATCTTTGATAAGAAGCATTTCTCATTTGTATTACCAGGGTTGCCTGGCATAGTTTATGGGGTCTGCCTATTGACCACAAGATCATTTATGATTGATTCCCGCAGAAGACAAAATGGGTCTGTGTTAAGATTATGTCGGTCAAATATTTTAGATATTTGATAAGATATATTTGCAGTTACCCCTTTGACTAAGCTCCACCGCCCTAGAGTGGAGTACAGTTTGGTCTAAGATGGGACTGTATAATATTTCCTTGTGCAGTAGTTAATTCAAGCAGTATTTTACTTTAAATGAGTCATTGGAAATATGGATTCATAACAAGCAGATCACCTATACAACCTGAAACTCACACATACACACCATCATACATATGGAGAAAATAAAGGAAATCACATGGTAAAATGTGCTTGAGTAGGGATGCTCTTGTTTCTCCAGATTGTTTCATATACATTATTTTGTATCTGTCTTCCCTTGAGCATTAAGCATTTAAGAGTATTTTTCTAAGGATTATCACAAGATGCTACAAAAATCGAACAAATAAAGAAATTCATATCTTTGATCAGATTTTCTTTCTTACTAGTAAAGAGAGCTGGATATTTCCCCACAGAACATATATCTGTAGCCCAACTGTATAATTAGATTGGATTTACAAACAGCTTTTTATGCATTTTTCAAAAGTTCAAATATATCACATCCAGGTTCTACAGGTAGTACATGATGAATAACAATTTGCCTTATTCCAATGCTCATCCTCTCAGCCCTTTAAAACAAACTCAGGCTACAGCGTTGAATTTGTTTCCAGTTGTATTAAAACCAAATTACTGCATACCTAGCTATCTCAATTTTCTCCTAATGTTAAATTCAGCCTGCTATATATTCAAGGGAATAAGGTGCGAAAGATAATGGGGATACAGTTTTGTTTTTTAACCAAGCAAATTATTTATATTTCATGATTGTTTACGCATATATCTTGTACAGCTTTCGTAAAAAGTTAATCTAATTATCTAATCAGTAAGTTATAACCATTTAAGACTGTCACTGATGCAGCACACATTGATTTTCTCCGTTCAAACTTCACAGAATTAAATGCTCCAAATCAAATAAATCTTACAAATTTTAAAGAAGATAATTAGTCTCAGACCCACTACTGGAGCCTGGTAATTAGTACTTCTGAATATGACAGCTGATCAATTACACCAGTAAGCAAAATCTACAGGATACACACAATGTAAAATCTACAGGATACACACAATGTAAAATCTACAGGATACACACAATGTAAAATCTACAGGATACACACAATGTAAAATCTACAGGATACACACAATGTAAAATCTACAGGATACACACAATGTAAAATCTACAGGATACACACAATGTAAAATCTACAGGATACACACAATGTAAAATCTACAGGATACACACAATGTAAAATCTACAGGATACACACAATGTAAAATCTACAGGATACACACAATGTAAAATCTACAGGATACACACAATGTAAAATCTACAGGATACACACAATGTAAAATCTACAGGATACACACAATGTAAAATCTACAGGATACACACAATGTAAAATCTACAGGATACACACAATGTAAAATCTACAGGATACACACAATGTAAAATCTACAGGATACACACAATGTAAAATCTACAGGATACACACAATGTAAAATCTACAGGATACACACAATGTAAAATCTACAGGATACACACAATGTAAAATCTACAGGATACACACAATGTAAAATCTACAGGATACACACAATGTAAAATCTACAGGATACACACAATGTAAAATCTACAGGATACACACAATGTAAAATCTACAGGATACACACAATGTAAAATCTACAGGATACACACAATGTAAAATCTACAGGATACACACAATGTAAAATCTACAGGATACACACAATGTAAAATCTACAGGATACACACAATGTAAAATCTACAGGATACACACAATGTAAAATCTACAGGATACACACAATGTAAAATCTACAGGATACACACAATGTAAAATCTACAGGATACACACAATGTAAAATCTACAGGATACACACAATGTAAAATAAAAGGTATTGAATTATTGGTGTATTTTGTGACTGGTTAAAACGGGTGAGATCATCACATGACATCAATATAATCAATCAAATTCCCCGTGACTCCCCCACATCTTCTCTGACACCTCCCTAGATGACAGAGCAACATGAACTTATAACATCTAGCGTAGTGTAACAGTTAATTGCTCAATGTCATGATAAAGTGCAGCAGAATTACATTTTTGTTAAATCGACCTATTTAATTCACATTTACACATCATTGGATACGTTTAAAGTTCATTTTCACATGTTTTTAATAGCAAGCATTATAGATGAAAAACACAGGTTTTAGATCATTGTTTGTTGGTTTGTGTTAAACGGCCCATCTGTGGTCATTTATAGGGCTATGGTGATTTATTTATCTATTTTTTCATCAGAGACCATCTTTGTGAGCCTGAAATAGTGGTCCTTCATGATAGGTTAGATGTACATGTACTGTATCAAGGCGGGTAGATGAAAGTTGTCCTGTCTGAGAGGCCAATATCTATTATGACTGTAGCTTCTAATTAATTACACACAGTAGCCCGACCCTAATACAGCAGAATTACTCAGGCTTTAGATCTCAAGAATAGCCACACTCTCACATTGGTGTACATCAGTAGAGGCAGAAGTCCATGGATACTAACTGACGCTATAAGCACACTTCACAACGACAATGCTGTCATTGGGCAGCCAATCTCTATACACAAGTGGCTTGTTCTGCAGATCTCCCTAAGCTGTTGTGAGGGTCTAACAGAATGTTTGATTGACGAGCCTCCTTTTACGAGCCACCCAAACTGACAAGCATAGATGTCTATGGCTCAAATGTGTATCTGTCTTGCTGGGTCGTTAGTATAACTAACTTCATGAGATATGGTAATTATTGCGGAATTCCGAATTTCTGAGGAAATTACTTTTTCATGAAGCGAGAAATGTGTCCATTATAGGCAAAGCTAACTGTACAAAGTATCTAACTTTACTGGCATACCATGTAATAAGTGTCCGATTTATACTTTCAGGTACAGGATGGGTTGCTGTCGATGACAATGAATCAGCGAACCAATTGCTGAGGAGATGTCCTCAGAAGAAATCTAACGCTAAAAAGGTGATTAAGTAACATAACGGAAACTCGATTAAACCATACAACTTGCTTTTGCACCCAAACGTGAAAGAAAAGAAATGAATCACAGCAATTTCAGAGACATTATTCCATGATTGAAGGAATAGCAAAGTTTAATTCTGCGACTGGATTCACTTGAACTCCATTCTTATCAACTCATCCCAATAATGACCTTTAAGGGTGATTAATACCGGGAAAGTGCCATGCAATTTATGGATATTGATTGCTAATGTATAAATTAAGCATTTCGTTTCAAGCCGAAGTGGTCATGTTTTCAGAAGCAATTTTCTGAAATCTATAGATATAACGAACCTGAAACAAATAACCACAGTAGTTGGAAGACGTTGCAATGAAAGATATCATACAAATGCATTCATGTGTTGCTTCAGGTATCGATCTTCAAGTAGTTATTTAATTAATGTCGACGAAACTCAACAATGCCATAATATCACAGAGCGTTTATTTTCTGGTGTACTTAAATCGTAGGCCACTTTTACACATGACTGGTTATACAAGTCATGCTTCCGCGATAAAGTGAGTTGTTTGTAATCAATAAAACTCCTACAATCACAACTTGTGTTTATTTGCCGAGGAATGAGTTTGTAGGGATCCATAATTCATGCTCTGAGTAATGATAGCAAGACCTTTGGAATATAAAGACATTTCCGTACAAACAACTCGATATCATTTCTCATAGAATTTGCATTCTTGGACAGATAGAAAAGACGTGCCGATAGGATGTTTTATGTGGGCTATTTTTAAGAATTCGATCTTAACACAATTCTTTAATTTTATCCTCAGCTGGACACAGATAGTGGCATTACCAACACAACCAACCTGCTGTAAAGTGTTAACATTGGTGAGATAAGGAACTGCCGATTACATTTCCATGACAGAGCAGATTTTTACAGCCAGGACCAATCAACAAATTATCGTTTCTGGAACTCAGAAGCAGTTACTGAATGAACTCTAGTAATTCTACAGGAAGATATTCATACAGGAGTTCACGTCAACACTACAGATATTTAAATTCCAATTAATCCTTAATATTTTAGAGCAGCTTAAGTGAAAACGTTAATTGATTGGAAAACTAAGGTGAATTCCATTAAAATTCAAAACAAAACTGAAACAGTGATATCAACCTGATGTTAGAAAAATGTTAAAAAGTAAACAAAAACAATCTATAAATGTTCAATTTTGAATTAATTGAATTTTCTTGGGATCAATACAAACAAACATCAGCTGTGATGGAACCAATATGGATTTAAACAAATATGATTAAGATATAGTTTTGTACATTGGGGAAAGCAGCTTCCGTGGAATTTTCAAAACAATGGAGATTTACCAAACGGATACTTAAAAAAAATCCAAAACTTAACTTAAAATTTTATTTGTGCTTTACACTACAATGAATGTTTCACGTAATGCATCTTGTGATGAGTGGTGGTGTGACCAGAGGGAGACACTTGTCGTGCTGGAGGTGGTGGCTATTCTGTTGTGTGCGATCGGGAGCTTTGGGAATCTCATCACTGTGTTGGCGATTTGTTCCAGCAGTCTCCGTAACAATATCAACTGTGTTCTCATCGGGAGCCTCAGTTTTGCTGGATTCCTGTATTGCCTCCTCATTCTGTCTCTTCAGGCAGTTGTGTTCCATATTCAGGATCCTCATCTCATTCCACCGGATTTCTGTAGCGCCGCAGGTGGCATCCGCTACACGCTTGTGGGGGTCATTATGGTGCACCTTAGTGTAATTGCACTGTACCGATACCTAAACATCGTTCATTTAGGCCAGTACAAGAAAGCTTCAAACACGCGCCCTCTGATTCTAACACTTATCTTCAGCTGGGTTCTACCCCTAATGTTCACTCTCCCGCCCTCGTTTGGGATTTGGGGGTCGTTTCGTTTCCAGCCTGCTGTTCTAGCATGTACTTTTAATAATTTCAACGTTGATCATTCCAACAGAATTGTGACGGTGACACTTGGATTTATTGTGCCATGTATCTTCATAGTATTCTGTTATGCCAGAATCGGATGTGTAGCTTACGGAAGTTCAAAACGTGTCAGCCAATGGAAAGGTACATCTGCAATGACTAAAGCACTTCGTCTATCTGCCATGATGATGTGTATATTTGCCATATTTTTCTTTGGGACGTTCCCGTACTTTATAATGAATGTGTACGATCGTAGTTTCTCTAAACCGGTTCACCACCTATGGACAACAACACTTGGTTGGTTGTCGTATTGTCTAAACCCTGTAGTATACACCGTCATGGACAACAATTTTAGGACGGCATATCGTCGTTTGATTATGGGTGACTGTGAGAAAAGTCCCTTACATAGAGTTCCTACCACCACCACCGGGACACCTGTATAAATCTACAGGTGTAAAGTTGACATGGACAGGTGAATTCTGGTGTGATATAGGCAGATAAATACAGGTATTTGGTATAGAGGTGTGTGATGAATGAAAAAAGTTCATGAAGATTGTTGTAATAAAGAACCTTCGGGTAAAGATTATACCCAGATGAAGCTTTACAGTAAAACATGTTTATAATGAAGCTCAAACGATACAGAAAATATGGTATTGTTTAAAATAGGTAAAAATACTATACGAAGCGATTCAAAACCTCTAACTTCATTTAACGTATTCATCCTTCAATAAACCCTGCAGAGTCCAACACATAATCTCTGACTCAAAGTAGGGGTGGGCTTGCTACAGGACAATTAATTACCATTTGTTGGCATTTCTACCAACCTGTATTAGGTATGGGTGGGCTTGCTACAGGACAATTAATTACCATGTGTTGGCATTTCTACCAAGCTGCATTAGGTATGGGTGGGCTTGCTACAGGACAATCAATTACCATGTGTTGGCATTTCTACCAACCTGTATTAGGTATGGGTGGCCTTACTACAGAACAATTAATTACCATGTGTTGGCATTTCTACCAAGCTGCATTAGGTATGGGTGGGCTTACTACAGAACAATTAATTACCATGTGTTGGCATTTCTACCAACCTGTATTAGGTATGGGTGGCCTTGCTACAGAACAATTAATTACCATGTGTTGGCATTTCTACCAAGCTGCATTAGGTATAGGTGGGCTTACTTCAGGACAATCAATTACCATTTGTTGGCATTTCTACCAACCTGCATTAGGTATGGCTGGGCTTACTACAGAACAATTAATTACCATGTGTTGGCATTTCTACCAACCTGCATTAGGTATGGGACGGCTTACTTTAGGACAATCAATTACCATTTGTTGGCATTTCTACCAACCTGCATTAGGTATGGGTGGGCTTACTACAGAACAATTAATTACCATGTGTTGGCATTTCTACCAACCTTTATTAGGTATGGGTGGGCTTACTACAGGACAATTATTTACCATGTGTTGGCATTTCTACCAACCTTTATTAGGTATGGGACGGCTTACTACAGGACAATCAATTACCATTTGTTGGCATTTCTACCAACCTGCATTAGGTAGGTGTGGGCTTACTACAGGACAATTCTTTACCATGTGTTGGCATTTCTACCAACCTGTATTAGGTATGGGTGGGCTTGCTACAGGACAATTAATTACCATTTTTTGGCATTTCTACCAACCTGCATTAGGTAGGTGTGGGCTTACTACAGGACAATTATTTACCATGTGTTGGCATTTCTACCAACCTGCATTAGGTATGGGTGGGCTTGCTACAGGACAATTAATTACCATTTTTTGGCATTTCTACCAACCTGTATTAGGTATGGGTGGGCTTGCTACAGGACAATTAATTACCATTTTTTGGCATTTCTACCAACCTGCATTAGGTAGGTGTGGGCTTACTACAGGACAATTATTTACCATGTGTTGGCATTTCTACCAACCTGCATTAGGTATGGGTGGGCTTGCTACAGGACAATTAATTACCATTTTTTGGCATTTCTACCAACCTGCATTAGGTATGGGTGGGCTTACTACCAAACATGGGCTTATTGATTGATAAATATGATAATTAAGTTTACTAATATGTCTGTTTAAGTTGTAAACATGTTTTACTGTACCCGTTTCACAAACACGGGTGTTACAGAACAGAAATGTGGTAAAAATATACAGGTGTTCTTAAGGTACGGAGACAAACTAACGAATTAGAGTTACAAAACAAAAAGGTGTGATATTAGAATGGTGATATTTTATCAAAAGGATGAATCTGTGATGAATGCTGGCGACTTGTTATGGGTGTAAATTTTACAGTTATGAACTTTTAAATATGTGTTTTGTCACATTAGAGTTATATTTCTTTAATAGAATCATAAATATATCATAGAAATAAATTAACTACAGATAAATATGTGTTAAATTGATCCCTTTTTCTAAAGCATTTTATTAAATTGATTTTTTTTTTAAATTTCCAATTAACTTAATGATAATTTAAATTTGTCTTGCATGATAATCAATATAGAATCAAGCTTTAGGCTTGAATAGCTGAATATCTCATAACCAACCTTTGAGACCACAGATGATTATATAAGGTAAAACGTCTGATTAACTCAAGGGGTCACTCGCAAATTGTTTTTTCCAAAAAGACATTTTTGAGAAGGATCCAAATATTTACCATTATTTTGGTGTTTCTCATCTTCAGATGGTCTTTTGGTAGTTCTGTGTTAGGTTGTTAAGCTTATTAAGCTAAACTGAATGATTGGACCCTGTTATTTGATATTTGTGAAAGAAAGTAGACTGTAAGAAGACCTAATGATTTAAATTTTTGCCAATTCCAGATATTTATACAAAGTTTCAAACTTTTCTTAAATGAATATATTGTTTACAAGTGTGATATTGAACAATGGTAGAATTTAATTCAATCCGGGATGGATCATTAGGAGATTGTGTTCCTAAGATAATGTGATTAGCTGACCTTTTAACTCTGAAGTTAATCTTTAAAATCTCACAAGCTGACATGTGTTAATAGACTGACTACCAGCCCCTAGGTTTTTTTTGAAGAATTTCCCAGCTGTATTTTACTACTAGCTTATCTTCCCCTAGTTTGAGAGCTTATAGGGTCTCTAGAAACAGACATCCAAGTGATCAAAATTATTAGAGATCATTTTTTCCTAAATAATAATTCAATACTCTAGAGATGGAGTGGGTGGGGGCAGTCAAACATGTGTTTACCATAAACTATATTTGATACTACTGTTTTTGTTCGGCAATAAGACCAGGGCCCAGTTGTTCAAAAGGTGATTAGCTTAATCAGTGATTAGCGCACATTTTTATTTTAGAGTAACTTTAAAACACAACCATTGAATTTGTTACAACTTTCCAGATATCAAATATTTAGTAGAGTGATGTTACATGCAAAATTGTGAGATTTTACCTTGTATATTGATGAAATTATTAAATGTTGAAAAATATTGTAAAACAGTGATTAGGCTAACCACCTTTTGAACAACTGGGCCCAGGAGGCAAATACATAAACTTGGACTTAACGTAAGGTGTTGGCTTATTACAGGGCAATACAACAAGTTTTGTTGGAATTCTACTGTCAATTACAATTGTCATGGGTGGGCTTATTATCAGGCATGGTCTTATTGATGTTGTAAAATTAACATGTTTAACTGGACCTGGCTGGTCAAAGACAGATTAGCTTTACAAGCTGTTGGCACACAATTTTAAAGTTTGATTATTGAGAAATATCTGAAAACTGAAATGTGTTGTTGAGGTTTTTTGTCTTTAATTGGTCATTTTGAAACCTCATCAACGTAATTTTAGTTTTGAATTTTAATATTTTTGAAAATCAACTTGATTTGAAGTATTGCCCTAGTTCAGTTGTTATTAAGCTGCTGAGGCTGAGGCTGAGGCTCAAGAGGCAATGAATCAATGGGCACAGATGACAATCATATCACAACTGTGTTAGTGCTAGCCTTTTCAAGTTGGGTCCCATTAGTGCAATAAAACCGGTCTTTATCAACACCATTCTGATATAACATACTACTCAGATATTATGCCTTTCACCCCCAAAGTTTCATAATGAACTTTCCCATCCTTTGAATTCGAGAGTTCAAATGTGTCTTCAGCGGTGAATGAGTTAAGGCAGAATATCAGAATACATATAGGTTTGATTCATAAGCTTTTGTAAGAAATGGGATTACAGCATTATGTTGTATCAGGCAGGTTGTTGGAATGCTCAGGGGTTGGAGAAGACAGGCTTACTGTACAGTAATATATTGACACCATATCCATGGTAATTGTTTAAATTTGCTTTGGTATTAAAATGCCTTCAACCTGGACAAGAAATTGAAATCAGATTTAACACAATCATGACTCTTCTCCTCATAGAATGAACAGAAAAGTCTACAATAAACAGTAGCAAGGTTCTTTTCCTAAATAAAATCAAAATCAATACACTTATCACATTTCACCATCATAGCAAACTCCTTTTTTCTGTAAAAAACTAAAGTTTTATTACTATGAACTTTAAATTAAGACATGAACTGCAATCATCATGATATAAATCATTTTACCAATTTTTGGCTTTTAAAATCATATACTTATAATTAATATGACTGATATTAGAAAATAGTATATAATTTATAATGATTAACATTTAGAGTATATGCTTTTTCAATTCTAATTTAAATACCTCTACAAGAAAGATACTTCTAGAATCTGTTAAACATGTACACAACCTCAATGAATGTATAACACTCAATGAATGATTTGTATTTGCTTAGTTATTAATATAACAAATATGCCATGCTTTAATGCTTACAAGTCAACTATCTATATTAATAATGATGGCCATCATGTGATCAATCATGTGATCAATATATAGAGTTATAAAGTGAAGACACCCATATCCTATACTTTACATAAGAACTCATGTACTATAACCTTACTGTGATGCCATAAATTGACAATGAAATTGCATCACAGATTTCTAGATTATATTATCAAATCATAGTTGGAGACAAATTAGCTATATAGTAGCCAGGAATGAACATGAAAAAAGAGTTTTTCGCAATACTAATGTATTTGTGAAAATTCTTGATCTTATGATAAAAAGGATCCAACATGAGTTAAAATTCCATTTTATATATATGCCAGATTGATGAGTGTCACAAATTTTTAATTCTAGGTTGACAGCTAGAGGCTTGATAAACGAAAAATTCTTAGATATATTTCATAAATCTCATAATAATTTTAACATTGAAATGGAAAATTCATGCAGGAATTATCTTCTCTCTCTCTGTGTAATATATATATTTGGAACTGGTAACGTTAGATCTTCTCATCAGTGAATAGAACATTGAAGAAAGATATGGTAGAACACAAAATCATGGTGTAAATATAGGTCACTGTGACCCCCACATACACCTAATGTTTTAGTTAGAACTGGTGTCTGTAGCTGAGATTCTGAAGATAATTAACATGTTACATACATACTTTCCTTTATCACATTCCTTGTCAGGCACAGAAATATGTCAGTTAAGAGGGGTCATGAACTCAGAATCGTTAACTGGACCAGTAATGGCATTCACTAGTAGACTTCAGCTATCTAGAGTGGCTATCTACCGTACCAAATGATTTCTCCCCAGAGTTTCATACAGCACAGCCTTTTATAGACCAATCACACGAGATGACACTTTTATGATTTTGTAATGTCAATTTTTTAGTAAGCCACAATCGTTCCAGTAAATTGATACTAAAAAGGTGAAGGCCTTCTAAATTGGCAATATCTATAATTGACCTTGGTGAAGAATTTCAGAAAACAAGAATGAAATCTATAATTTTCTAAATAAAACTAGAAAATGTCTGTAAGACATGAATGTGCCCTCCGCCATTTGTGAAATTAGTTTCAGTGTTTGATGTTCTATAAATAGTTACAACCACTTTGATCTTGATACCCTAAAATATGTTGGCCTTGACCTTGGAACCCTGAAACACAAAAATGATGTCCGAGGTATTGTGTGTATAAACTTTCATCAAAATCTGTTAAGAAAGTAGCTAGAGTGATGACACTGAATCGGTTGATGATTTTCTATACATAGCAACTGTGACCTTGGCCTTGAACTTGGAACCCTGAAACACAACAATGTCCGAGGTATACTCATATACTTGACCTTTGTATAAAGTTTGATGAAAATCTGTGAAAGCATGAAGTTGCTATTAAGGTAATAGGATTGTGTCACCATTTCTCAGTAGAATTTCTTCCAATTTTGTTATATTGCTTTAAAGTAAAGAAAAGTTTCTGCCACAAAAAAAATATAGGTTGTCAGAATTTTAAGGATTTTAAATGGAAATTTATGTAGAAAGGAGTGAATTTTGAAAAAAAAAATTGAAAGACCCAATATTTTTACAAAATAATGTCAATAAAAATGATACTGACATAAATTAGTATTGCATTAATGTATATCAATTTAATAAATGCTGAAATTGTGTAAAATTAATTCTCTATACACGATATAAAAATTGACATTTTATAATAAAACCATATACACATAGTAATTGCAGGTACATGTAAGAGTTATCGTTCTTGAAAAACTTCACAGTAGTGAAATATATATATATAGGTAGCCAGTTTCCTGAAGTACAGAAAAATGGACACATGTGTCTCATTGATAAAAAAAACCCTGAATTAATGCCTGGATTGCTTTGAAATACTTTAATATTGAGAGAACACACTGTTCTGTCAATAATAAACATACAATATTCATCAGTTTAATATTAAACATTAGAATTTGCGGAAATTGTGATACTGTCTCCCTACATTGGATTTTCAACTAGGGATGTACTTCCTGTTTCCGTTTATCGATACACTCCAATGACCTTAAGTGTTTACATTGAATCGGGACGGGACGGGACACACACGGGCAACACTATAAGCCCCCCATTTCATGTAATAGTTAACATTATAGATTATCCTGCCAATTCTCAGAATATAAAGCTATTGTTTGAATCATTTTTACAGTCATGTATAGAAACCGGCTACAACATGTTACTCAGTTCAAATCTTATTGCAATGTTCTTTGTTTTTCACTACAAAATACTCATCTGACTTACGCCTTCTTCTGAAGCAGAGAGAATGGAGATACAATTATGTCAAAATCAGTTCAGTTTTTA